AAACTCTGCCTCTTCATTTTTATTTATTTATCATTTTGGTTTTGAGAGATCGGAATTTGCTATGTAGCTCAGGCTAGCCTCAAATTCACTACACTCCTCCTGCCTCGGCCTCCTGAGTTCTGAGATTACCTGTGTGGACTCCATGCCCTGTTCAGTTTTTTTCCCTTTTTTTTTCTTTCTTTGAGACAGCCATGGGTGGCTTGGAACTCCTGTATAGAACAGACTGGCCTTGAACTCACAGAGATCCACCTGCTTCTGCCTGTCAAGTGTCGGGATTAAAGGCATGGCCATGACACCAGATTTTAGCGTTTTGTTTTTCTTAAACTTCGAAATCACTTTCCTCATCCATATATTCCGTGTGGGGCTTCTCAAAAACGTCCGCAGCTGCTCCTGTCTCTGTGGGTCTCCCTCCGCGTTTATGTGTTCCTTTATGTAGTCACCTGTCTTTTTCGAAACTCCATGTTGCCGGCCACCTCGCTTCAGAAACAAAATGACGTCAGCACTTAGGAGAGAGACGCAGATAGCATGGGCCAGGATGGAGACAGGAAGTGGGAAGTTTGGCAACAGTGAAGACCTCCTGATAGTTTGGATGAGTGGGTAAGAATGATAAGGACTCCCACCTTATCGCAAACGATACAGGGAAAGTGGAAGCTGGGCCTGGGACATGAAATGGTAACAGACAGCCGTGGAACCCGAAAAAGCAAAGGAGACAATGAAGAAGAGCAGTAGCTTGTTCCTATGTCTGGGAGCTTCACACCACCCCACGTACACCCAGTCAGGTGTCCCAAATGAAGCACCTGAGCCATCCCGGGCATACGACTAACGTCTACCGTGGCGGTCTGGGCATGATAGCGCACAGTTCCCCTTGCAGCTGGTCTGCGGAGGCACCTCCCAAGTCCTAGGCTCTTGAAAATGCTCTGGAGATATCTCAGCTGTCAGCTTTCTTCAGAGACTCCCTTCAGCTGCAGAAAGCTGATGATGACCACATCATCCAAGGCTCGGCCAGCGGCCAAGGACTGATGTAACCCAGATGGTACTGAAAAACCTCCTTAGCCCCAAGCTCCGTGGGGTTAGCCGAGGCTTTCATCAAAACTGCATTCTGCCTAACTTCTCCTCTGCCCAGCCTTGCTTCTGCCTTTTCCTTGTGACTGGCGCCAGTCCCCAATGCCTCCTAACGACTTCCTACACGCTTATCTCCAGCCCAGGTTCTGTTGGCTGGGAGAGCTCAGCCTCCGTTATCACCTATTCTCAGGAGTGTCCCAGGTAGGATGAGACCTTACGCGCTCCCACGTGCTCCCACGTGCTCTTGGAGTCCTCCCGGTCACTGCTCACCGTGTTTACTTATTTAATAGCACTGTATCGAAACCATTGAGGCAGAGAAAGTGTTAAGTCTCATCACCGATTCTGCAGAACCCAGGCCTGTCACAGCAGGTGCTTAGTAAATATTTGTTGAGGGAATGAATGAACCATCTTATCTGAGAATGTCAGGGAACTGCTCTGAACAGCTAAAATACAAAACAGAGCCAGCTGCAGCTTCTGTGTGGCTACACCCCCACACAGTCACCTGCCATGACCACATTTTTTTATAATTTATTTTATTTTATGTGCATTAGTGCTTTGTCTGCATATGTGTAAGGGTGCCAGGACTGGAGTTACAGACAGTTGTGAGTTGCCTGTAGCACGATTGATTAATAAAAACCCAGAGACAGATATTGGAGTTCAACCTGCAGGTCAGAAAAGCAAGATAACCATTGGCTCTTACCTCTATCTCAGTCCAAAATGGCAATCCTGCCTCCAGGAATCCCAGAATGAATCTGAGATTGAAACCTGTCTCCTCCTGTCTTGTATTCTTCCTCTCTAGGGCTGGGATTAAAGGCATGCACCACTATTCCTGGTTTCTATGGCTAACTACTGTGGCTACTGGAATTAAAGGTGTGTGTCATTCCTGCCTGGTCTGTTTTACTCTCTGATCTTTAGACAAGGTTTATTTATTAAAGTACAAATTCCCCTTTTTGTCTAAAATAAAAAAGACTATAAATAATATAAAAACTATAAACAATAAGTACAATGACTATATACAACATATACAGGCAATAAATACGTCAACAATGCCTAGCCCATTTGCATTTGGCAAATTCCAAGAAAATGCTCCATATCTATCCTATCTTGGTGAGTCCAACCAAAGTCTTGTACGTAATTTGCTTTCTATTATAGCTTGCTTTCTGTGTCTGGTAAACAAGTAAAGCTATAACTGTAACTATCTAGTCTTCAACTCCCTCAGAGACCTAAGAAGGAAATAATATTAACTGAGTAAGCAGGAAGTGCAAGCAAGCTACTTCCAAAAATTGTGAGAAATGGCAGAAACAGCTGGCTGCCTGGACAGTCAAGCAAAGTACCTCTGCAATGATGGGGCATTTGTCTTTAGCCTACAGGCCTAGCATATCTGACAGAGTATTCTGTGAAGCAAGGCAGAGTCAGTCACCAGCCAGACACAGAAGAAGCAAGTTGAGAATGCCTTCCTGAGAAAGGTACCAAGTCACGTGGTTAAACATAGGCAAGAAGTTTGGGTCAATATAAATTGTAAGAGCTACTTAATAACAAACCTGAGCTAATAGGCCAAACATTTTATAATTAATATAAGCCTCTGTGGTTTCTTTGGGATTGAAAGGCTGCAGGACCTGGCAGGACAGAAACTTCTTTCTACAGCTGTCATGTAGGTGCTGGGAATTGAACTCCGGACCTCTGGAAGAGCATTCAGTGCTCTTAACCTCTGAGCCATCTCACCAGCCCTGTGACCACATTTTAAAGATGAGCTTTGGGAGACAACAGTCTTGGTTGGCTTGCCTACTCCAGACCAGATGAGTAGAAGCCTAGGTGCAGATGGGAAAGCACCTACCTTGTAGACTTAACTCAGCCAGGCACAGCAGGTAGTCACCTCCCCATGCCACTAAGGCTCCCAAGAGTTCTAGCTCAGCTCTTAAGAACTGGAGCTAATCTGGTGAGCTGGCAGGCCTAGTCTCCTCTCTGTCTGCCCTCTTAGCTTCCCACCCTCATCTCCTCTTAGTAAGACACTCTCAGTAAAGCTCACTACAGAGCCGGATTCCAGGAAGTCCAGGTTGAGCAGGCTCCTGACAGCATTCATTCTCAATTCCTTTTTGCATCTTAAAGGTCCCTGAGCCAGAGCTCAGCCCTGTGACCTTCCAGGCAGGATCCTGGCTACCTTTCTGCAAGGTTTCCACCCTCCCCCCATAAGTATACTTCTCCCTTCTTGTGCCTTCTGAGAATCCTAGAAGGTTACCAGTAGAAAGGACCTCATTGATAGCAAAAGAGGAAACTGAGAAACCGTGGCCCATTCACCTGCTCCCACCTGCCTCCATTATTTAGGTGCCAAGTGCTGTAGGACACCCTTCCCCCTCTGACCTGACCAGTGATGAAAGAAAAATGTCTAGCTGTCCTATCGAGGAGGGTTTGGGGGTATCACTGGCAAGTCACAAAGCCCAGGATAGGAGAGTGAAAAGCAAAGTGCTTCTCATCCCACCTCCATCAATCGAGGGGCTGCAGAATTTCTTAAAAGGATGAAGGATTATTTGGAAAGACTATCAAACTAAGTGTCTGAGAACAAAGAGATCAAGATGGAGCAAGGGAGATCTCACAAAGAGATTCTGGAGGGTTTTCTTAGCCTGTGGTTTGTCCTGTAGACACAGTGGTGCAAACATGCATGGAAGTGCACCTTGCGGGGTGGGAGCCTCTCCTCTCCCTCCCTGGGCCAGCAGCACAGAAGCCTGCCTAGGCAGATGGACAGTGTCTGCCCTCGCGCACACAGTGCTCGTCTATTGCACTTCTTTCTTTAGCAAAGAGCTTTAGCGCTGTGTCAGCCCGCAGTGGAGCAGCCACCCTCCAGGGAGATGCGGCGGCTGTCCCCATGACGTGTGTGACCCAATGTCACAGCAGAGTGGGAATACAATGCTGTATGCACAGGAGACAGGACTAACGCAAGGAAGCAGATGAGAGACCTCAGCTCAGGGAGGCGGTCAAAGCAATCTTAGCTAGGTGACTTGGAGGACAGCACCTCAGATTCCCCAGGATCACACATCTGGCAAATGCTCACTTCCCACTCCACTCCACATCCGTATCAACAAACTGGGCTGGAATCCCGCCTTTGCCACTCTCTGGGTTAAATAACCCCCCCTCCACTGGGTACCTCGCTAAATTGTTCTTTGCACCTGTTCCCTCATCTACCTGTAAATGGAATATAAGAAACCTGCCTGGACTGTATGGAAAACCCAATGTATTAGCATAACAGTTCCTTCTGGGTGTTTCTAGGACCCTCTGAAAGTCCCAGAACCCTTCCAAGGGCTTCATGAAGTCAAAACTGTGGAAGACACTGAGACAGCATTTTATGGCATCATAAAAATCAAATGTAGGTATCAACCTAGCTGCCTTTGAGTATGTTCATGAAAGAGATTTAGGAAAATGTAAAACATACCATTCTTTTCACTATTCTTTTTTTTTTTTTTTTGTAAAATAAAATTAAGTGGGTCGGAGAGGTGGCTCAGTAGTGAAGAGCACTGGCTGCTCTTCCAGAGGACCCGAGTTCAATTCCTAGCACCCACATAGCATCTCACAACCGTCTGTAACTCCAGTTCCAGGGGAGCTAATGTCCTTTTCTGGTCTCCTTGGGCACTGCATACGCATAGTGCATAGGATGAGATAAAATTCATTCACATAATCTAAAAATAAATAAATCTTTACTGCTATTTATAAAGGGTGTATGGTAGTATACCCCTATAATCCTAGCACTTGAGAGGTAGAGACAGGAGGGTCAGAAAATCAAGGCAAACTCAGCTACACAGCAAACTCAAGGCCAGCCCAGGCCACAGGAGACCCTGTCACAAAGATTTTCCTGGAGAACCAATTACTAAATATTTACTTTCCTAACACCAGATAAAAATCAACATAAACAAAAGGTCTTGGGCACCCTTGTCGGCTCTAAGACCAAGATGGCCGCGAGAATCACCACTTTCCTCAAGAATGCCTGGTCGAAGGAGCTCGTACTGGTGGTGTCCTTCTCAGTTTGGAGCCTCGCTATAATTATACCCATAATCAGCCCCTACACCAAGTATGCTTCCATGATCAACCAGGCAACACCCTACCCAGTCCCTGAACGAGATAATGGGAACATGCCTGATGTGCCCAGCCACTCCCAGGACCTTCAGGCACAAGCCTGGAATGGCTGAAGAACCTGTGAATTCTCCTGTTGAGAAAAGAGGCCCCTTCCCTGTTGCCCCCCCAATAAAAATGGGAAAACAAAAACAAACAAACAAAAAGGTTGGGGGGGTCTTCAACAATTTCCTTACAAACTAGCAAGTCTGAGAGCCACTGAATCAAATTTAGAAAATGTTCCCGCCAGTGCCAGACGGCTGGTAGGTCGGTCCTTGGTCGCTGTGGGCTGTTAGTCACCAGTTTTGTCTGCTCAAAGGCTTGGATTTGCTGGGCGTGGTGTGCGTGCCAATAACGCCTGCGCTTGGAAGATGGAGACAGGAGGCAAATAGTCATATACATAAAACACAACCACTCATAGACATAAGGTGCTAAAATAAAAACAAATCTTGAAAAAGCAAAAGGAAACTGGGCGTGATGGCCATGCCTTTAATCCCAGCACTCGGGAGGCAGAAGCAGGCGGATGGATCTCTGTGAGTTTGAGGCCAGCCTGGTCTACAGAGCAAGTTTCAGAACAGCCAGGACTGTTGCACAGAGAAACCTGTCTCAAAAAAACAAAAAACAAACAAACAAAAGGAAGTCTGAGAAGTAAGGCATAGTGCACATGCCTGTAATCCCAACACTCAGTGGGGGCAGAGGACCAGAAGTTCATAACCAGTCCGGGCTACATGAGGCTTCATCCCAAGTAACGAACACAGCAACGACAAAGGATGGGGTACATTGCACTGGTAGAGTGTGTGCCTAGCATGTGCAGAGGCCCAGGTGCAACCTTTAGCCTCACCACCAAAAGGAAAAGGAGGTTAACAGGAGTCAGAGGGAGGAACGAGAGATGGAGTGGTACCAGAGGGAGCCTTTCTTGCCATAGGATGGAAACCGTGAACCCCTGCTAGGAATGTATCGAGTCTTCTCCCCTATGAGTACAGCTCCATGACCAAACACTGCATCTCCTGGCTCTGCCCTCCAGTGTCCAGAGCCCACTTGATGCACAGCAGGCACTCAGTAAATATCTGTTGATTGCATGGATTAATTAATATGCAAAATGAAAGAGGTGCAGGTTCGCTGAAGCAGTTCTTACGCCAGGAGATGCACGGACTTAGGTCACTCTGTTAAGGGGGAACCATATGAATCCCATTCCAGTCATGCAACGGAAGAGGGTGCAGATTGTGACAGTTGCGTGTGTGTGCAGAACTCACTGATACGTTAGTGAAATGAGCACAGTGTAGAGCAGCTGGGTAAAGTGAGTGCACTTCCAATAATTTACATTTTTGCATTTTATTTATTTTGTCTTTGTATGTTGGCTTGGGCATGGCTGTGGCAGTCAGAGGACAACTTTTGGGAGTCCGTTGTCTCCTTCCACCATGTGGGCACCAGGGATTGAACTCAAGTGGTCAGGCTACATGGCAGGTGCTTTTAGCCACCAACCCATCTCGACAGCCCCACCTTCATTAAATTTTAAAAAGTGCTTACGAAGGTCTGGACAAGATAGCTGGGTGGGTAAAGTGGTTGCTTGTAAGCCTGACGATCTGAGTTTGATCCCCAGGAGGGAACAAACTTTCTTCTGACCACATGTATGATATGGCAGGTCGTACACACACACACAAGAAGTAAATGTAACAGGGGCTTATCAATGCATGTCGTATGTTTGTAGATTTATAAAATATATTGGGGAAAATGCAAAGAATTAGGTAAAAATGGCCTCTTCAACAGAGGACACCAGGGACCAGGGGTGGAAGAAACAAGTTTGTTCTTCTTCTGCAATGTTGCAGTCACGCCCACTGTTCAATAGACAAGAAACACCAAGGATAATACTAAAAAAAAAGAGAAAAAGGAAAACGAGAATTGGAAAGAGAATTAGCTTTGCATGAGTCCAATGTGATTTAGATCTGTGGCCTGCTGAACACCATCTAGTGTACCACAAGGGGAACCCTGTGCCCCTCTGATGGGAAAGACCTGTCAGCATGTCGCTGGGTACTGGAAACACTCTTGTCCCCACAGACTAGTGTCTGCGCTGAGTTCTGAATCCAAACACCTGGATTTCCCCTTTACCTAATTTGAGCATCCTCTATCTTATCTGAGTAAAACATATCTTGTTCCCAATCAGCCCTTAGCAGAGTCACGCAATCTTTGATTGGCATTCCTGGTATGTGCTACAGCTCATTTTAAGTCATCCATCCCTTTCCGCAGCTGTCTCAGGGGAGGTTCCCTTCTCAGGAATCAGGAGTGACGCTGTCAGTGCACCCAGGCTATAGACCTGGCTGTCCTTTGTCTCCCTGTGACCCTTTAATCCTAAGATGCACGTACTGAAGGACGTATTAAGCAAGGGTTTTGCCTCAGCATCCTTTCTGCCCATGCCTACTGGGATGGGGTTCTCAAATTGGCTAAATCCTACAAATCTCACGATGTGTGCCAGTAATGAGTATCGCAGAATCTCAACTCCAGGGGATTAATCATACAGTCAGGAGCTGAGGATAAGAAATACCAAGGAGGTGGGCATCCCTGATTGCATAACAGTCCTGTGAGGTTGCTGATGCTGGCCTTGAACTTGCTATGTAACCAAGAATGACCTTAAACTTCTGATCATCCTGCCTTTTCCGCCTGAGTATGAAGATTTCTGCCACATATCACCACATCTAATCCATCTGGGCTGGGGGACTGAACCTAGACTTCCTCTAACCCTCAGACAGAGGATTTTTACCCTTAAGATGACTTTTATTCCTATGCTTCCATGCTGCCTACACCCTAGAAAGAAGAAAGAGAGTAGGGCAAAGGACAAAAGGCAAAAGGATACATGCTAGCTGAGTTGGCTCCTATAACCAATCCAAAGACTTCTAGGTTCACCTCTCTCCCTAGCCAGGACTGGGTGACAGGCATCCTGGCTGCAAGGGAGGCAAGGAAGCATTCAAACCAAATAAGTCACCACTTTAATTAAATAAGAGTTCTGCTCATACACAAAGGAGAGAGTGGGAACCTCTCGAGCAAATGACGCTTTAAGCTAACACTTTATTAAGCTGGAACTTAATCAGCAGACAGGGGGAAGCCGTTAACATTTTCGAGTAAGAGAGATCAGCACACAGCCCATCATAGTGGTGCACCCTTTAATCTCAGCTCTAGGGAGGTAGAAGCAGGTGGACCTCTGTATGTTCAAGGCCAGCCTGGTCTGCATATCAAGTTCCAGAACAGCCAGAGCTATATTACTAAAAGCCTGTCTCAAACAAAAAAAAAAAAACAAAAAACAAAAACAAAAACAAACAAAAAGAAAAAAGAAAAGATTGGCACAGAAAAGGAAGCAGGAGAAAAGGAAGAGAGAAGAGAGACAAAGGGAAGTTCCAAACACAAAGGGAACTGCTTGACAAACAAGTCAGTGTGGCTTGCCACGAAAAGAGGCAATGACGATTGGGGGGGGGGGGCGCTGGCAGTGATGCCATTAACATAGAGCAAAGTAGAGCTGGAGCCGCCAGTGGCCAGAGAGCTAGAGGACAGAAGCGTGCTCTGGGTCAGCGGCAGTTCTAGCTTGGAGCTCAGGATGAAAGTCGCTCCTGAAGGTGTCAATTTAGAAATGAACAGCAAGGAGAAGACAACAGAAAAGGCAAAGGAAGGAACTGAAACAGTGCATCCAAAGCCAACAGAATCTGCAGGATGTTCTCCCCAATGGCTCATGCTCTCAGCATCCTAGATGTGCCCTCCATCCCTGTTCACATGGTCCCAGCATCCTAGATGTGCCCTCCATCCCTGTTCACATGGCCCCAGCATCCTAGATGTGCCCTTCATCCCTGTTCACATGGCCCCAGCATCCTAGATGTGCCCTCCATCCCTGTTCACATGGTCCCAGCATCCTAAATGTACCCCTCCATCCCTGTTCACATTCCACTCTCCATAGTTTCTCAGTACTGACTCTCTCTATCAGGAAGCCTTCTTTGATCTGTCCTATATGGCCTTCCTTCACCCAGCAGCTCCTCCCCCCTTGACCTTGTACTGCTAATCCCCCATGAATGGCAGCATCGTAGCCTCACTCGTCACTATCACCAAGGACTTAGTCAAGGGCCCGGTTGTATGCTATGTGCTCAATTAATGTTTGCTGAATGATTTAGTGAAGCCAGGAATTGACAAGAACAAGAGAAAGAATGTGGAAAAGCTAGGGGTTTAGAACGAAAACTTGGGGAATGTTCTGATGGTAGAATGTGCTTAGCGTTCATGAAGCTCTGAGCCCAAAACACACCAGAGTTCGGAAGTTCAAGAGCATCTTCAGCCTTGGATACAGAGACCCTGTCTTTAAAAAGAATAAGAATGAGGTGGTTGTGGTAGCACATACTGTTAATCCCAGCACCTGGGAGGTAGAGGCAGGTGGATCTCTGTGAGTTCGAGGCCAGCCTGGTCTACAGAGCAAGACCGTGTCTCAAAAGAAGGAAGGTGAGAGGAGGAGACAGACAGAAAACACAAAAGGACTGGCCCCAAATGTCACTGGTTGTCAGGAGTTTGTCCCCTTTGACTCTCTCTTTTAGGTCACACTTAGTCCTCTAGGACAGTCTCCATGAACCCCCTCTGAGAGGTTAGTCTCTATCATCCCCCACACCTAGGCTATGTGCCCTACTGTCCAGCCCTCACTCTCTCTGAGACTGAGCCCTGTAAGCTCACAGGCCAGCCAGAGGCTCTGGTAGGACACTAGAAAGTGGAAGACAAGGAGAATCTAGGCTTTCTGTCCACCCTGAGTGGGAGCTGTGGAAGTGGGTGTGTCTGCCATGTGGTTCCCCGGCAGCTGACTGCCCTGCCCTGTCTTGCCTTCCCACCAGGGGGCAGGAGTGGATTCCTGGTCACCGTTGTCTTCTGTCGGCCTTTGCCATTCTTCCATCTCCTGTGTAACTTATTCCTCCATGAAATACTGTTTGAACTTAGAATGCTTGCCTGGCTGGGTCCTGCCTACCTGGTACAGCAGGCTCCATCCCTCCATCAACATCCGCCCAATACCCAGGATGACTCAAGTCCTCATCTGAAGTGACTTAGACCAGGGACCAGTCTAGAG